AAAGATACACTGTCTAGACTTCGCATCAAGCTTCGACCTCTCCTCACTAGAAACATGTACATAGGCTGGACATCCAAACACTCTCAAACCAGAGTAGTCTACCTCACTGCCTGTCCACACCTCCTCTGATACTTTCCCATCTAGTGCTGCCCTCGGTGATCTGTTAATCAAGAAACATGCCATATTCACTGCCTCTGCCCAGAAATTCTTTGCAAGCCCTGCATTCAACCTGAGACACCGAGCTTTCTCGGCTATCGTTCTGTTCATCCTTTCCGCTACACCATTTTGTTGTGGTGTCTTGCGGACTGTGAAGTGTCTCTTGATCCCATGCTGCTCACACAACTCCTGGAACTTTGAATCTGTGTACTCAGTACCATTATCTGACCTGAGGCATTTAATCTTCCTCCCTGTCTGGTTCTCTACTTCAGCTTTCCACAGCTTGAACTTGGCAAACGCTTCTGACTTGTGCCGCATGAAGTACACCCAGACCTTTCGTGAGTAATCATCAATGAAACTCACGAAATACATGTATCCTCCCCGTGATAGTACGCTAACTGGTCCCCAAACATCTGTATGGACATAGTCGAGAACCCCCTCTGTCTTGTGTGTGGCTGTCTTGAACTGCACCCTATTCTGTTTTCCAAGAACACAATATTTGCAAAAATTGAGCTTGCATGTCTTGACACCCTTCAATAGATTTTTCTTATGAAGCTCTATCATCCCACGCTCACTCATATGACCCAGCCGCATATGCCACAAGACTGTATTATCTGATTCAGACTCTACAGCAGCAACTCCACCTACAATTGTAGTACCCAGCAGTCTGTAAATGTTTCCTACTACTTTCTGTCCCTTCATCACTGTCAGCATGCCTTTACTTACTTTCATTACTCCACTTATAGATTTGTAACTATAACCATTACAATCCAAAGTGCCCAATGAAATCAAATTCTTCCTTAGATCCGGTACATGTCTAACATCACACAACGTTCTAACCATACCATCAAACATCTTAATTCTAATATTTCCTATTCCAACAACTTTGCAAGATGCATCATTACCCATCAGAACAGAACCAGAATTTACTGACCTGTAGGTGTCAAACCAATCTTTGTTGGGTGTCATGTGATAGGAACATGCTGAATCCATAATCCAAGAATCTGTTAAACGATCTGAACTAGATAAAACAGAAAGCATATCTCCGTCACCACTCTCTGAATCTTCTTCTTCCACTACGTTTGCAGACTTTGATGCACCCTCTTTGTTCTCTGAATCCCCTTTCTTTTTCTCTGGACAGTCCCGTTTAAAGTGCCCCTTTTTCCCGCACTTGTAACACGAGACAGAGACGTCCTTCTTCTTCTTCCTCGACTTGGACCGGGCTTTATTGTTACCCGATCCATTCCGAGATTTGCTTCTTCCACGTTCCTGGTTACCTTTCACCACAAGCCCTTCACCTTGTGAAGCCTCATCACTGGCTTTCTTCCGCTGATGAAAACCTAACAGAGCACCTGTGACATCCTCCAATTCGAGGGTTTCTTTCCCCCACATCAGAGTCGTAACCAAATTCTCGTACGTAGGAGACGCCGGTAAGGAATTCAGCAACATCAGCGCCTTGTCTTCGTCTTCGAACTTCACATCAACTCGCTTCAGATCGCTGATGATCTGATTGAACACGTTGATGTGTTGGGTCAAATCCGAGCCCTCTGACATCTAAGACCATATAAGTTTCTGCTTAAGATAGAGCTTGTTCGTCAACGACTTGGACATATACCGACTTTCCAGTTTCAACCAAACTTCCGCCGGTGATTCCTCATCCATGACGTGATACATCACTTCATCAGCCAGACAAAGCCTAATAGTCGCCACAGCCTTCGCTTCCAATTCTTTCCAATCCATGTCGTCCATTCCTGCCGGTTGTTTTCCGTATAATGCCTTCACCATGCCCTGCTGCACTAACAGGTCCTTCACCCTCCTCTGCCATAATCCGAAATTCCCAGTTCCGTCGAACTTCATGATGTCGAATTTTGTAGAGGAAATCCCAGACATCGTAGTTTAGCTCTGATACCAATTGTTGTGATCGTGCAGCAATTATGGTGAATAGTAAGGAATCAAACAATTAAGAAAACAGGAGAAAATAACACACAGAGATTTACGTGGTTCGGCAATATGCCTACATCCACGAGAGCGAGCGGTCGTTCTTTTCCATTATAGAATAGGGTTACATCTTAAGTATTTATATAACCCTAATATGGACGTATTTACAAAAAATACCCCTATACCGTACCGCGGGGGCGTTGCCCCCGCACCCCCAACTAATCAGCGTCCCCTTTATTTAAATCCCGCAAGGCAGGATGCCGTCGCGGGCTCCGCTCCGGCATCTGCCTCCTTGCCATTATGCACACAGCAAATATGAGCTACACATACTCTAACATTTTCCGAAGTGTCAAATGGGTAACACACGTAAAGAAAAAGGTTCAAAGGATGCAATTGGGAAAAATCGAAATCACCCAAGAATCAGTTAGAGATTAAACGTAAAAAAATTCAGGAAACACGTACGAAGGCCAAAAGAAAACATGCATTATAAATATAGGCTTCCATAGCCCTTCATCACCACCCTTCTCTTGCCTTTGCTTCCGAAGTGGTTTGAAGCATTACTTTCAGTCAAAGTTCACACACAGCCATTAGTTCGAAGTTGAAGCATACTTCTTGATACAGACCAAATGGAGGTAAATGTTTTATTTTTTTCTCCATTTCCTCAGCAAAATTGAAGAGAAACATAATGAGCTCGTGTCCAGTGGAACTTTGGTAACCCTTTATGGGGAAAGCTAATGCTGAAGTTTTTGATCCAATGACCCCTCAAATTTATGTCCCGCCCATTTGAATCTAGCCAATTATTTCATCATGATAGGAGAAGCATAAGCACTTGATCCGTGACTTGCATTTGCATTGATAGCTCTAAGAGGGATATCTCTTGCCCTGCATTACTTTTGATTCCTAAAAATGTTTCAAGTACCCGTATATATTTGACACTTGCGTAAGGTATCAGATGTTTATCGGACACTCTACTAAGGATTTCCAAATTCCAGGAATTTAATCTCATTCTATGACTACTTATGAAACTCTCATTTACGCTATTGCTGATGCATGAGAAAGTCATTTAGGGTGGCCGTTTATGTGTCCAGTTGTAATATTTCACTTATCTACTTTGTGTGCATCATGCTACTATGGTTCTCTTCTAATTGTAAGGCTTCCCCTGAGTATATATCTATACGCACACACGCATGCTCCAAACATATGCCATTCTCCCTGCTAATATCTTCCCATCCGAACAGTTTCTTACTCTCTTTTAAATAATGTTGAGTTTTCATGTTCTAGATCATTTGTCAGGGGTGATGGAATGAATTGACCATGTCTGATATGAGATTGACATCCATTCTTATATTTTGGGTAAACATTTTGCAATTATCGAAAAAATTACACTTTGAAATCGTTACACCACATTTAGTACTATTTTATATATATGGTTTGGAGAAACGTTGACCAACCTTCCATCTCTTTATTTCATTATAAATTTCTATTAACGTGTCAAAACTTCAGATTATATATTTTGCATATATAGTTTCCTAGCTTCTTCCTCGTCTTACCCTGCAGATGATTAACTCTACACTGTTGGTTTTTCTTATTATGCGAACATGCACTAGCTAGCTATAAATTCATACTTGCATAGGCCCTTAGCACAGCACCTTTCGTGCTCTCGAAGTGGTTTGAGGCATTACTTGCAATCCAAGTTTTCACAGTACTCTTAGTTCGAAGTTGAAGCAAATTCAGTTGCTGGTCTACACCAAATGGAGGTATATGCTTTATTTTCTTATTCTCATTCAAAAAATGGAAGGAGAAATAATGAGTTTGTGTCAAGTGGAAGTTTTCAACCTCATTATAGGGAATCCTGATGCTCAAGTTTTGGTGTTGGTGATGGCTCAAGCATGACCGGAGTAGGGATACGACAGTAGCTTATATATAATAATTCGGTTAACCTAAGCCAAAATTTACTCTGAATTCCAATTCTCTTATTCGCATTGTTGCCGCACATGAAAAAGAAGAAGAAAGTCACATTTTGGTTCCATCTATGNTATATATAATAATTCGGTTAACCTAAGCCAAAATTTACTCTGAATTCCAATTCTCTCATTCGCATTGTTGCCGCACATGAAAAAGAAGAAGAAAGTCACATTTTGGTTCCATCTATGTGGACAGTGTATTTTACTTGTTGGATCAGACACCCCTTCAATTTTTGTCAGATTCATTACTTGCAAAAGTTTACTTATCACCCATGTCAAGTTCAACCAAATAGGAGGAGCATAAGCATTTGATTCATGGCTTGCATTTGCATTGATAATTGGGCTGTCTCTTGCTCTGCATGACAGATATAAATGGTTGGGGACATTCTCTATTAGGTATGCACCTTAGTTTTTGTAAATTCTTTTGTCCGTGTTTCATGGAATTCAACAACATTTGTCGTGTTTACTAGCAAGGAAATTAATATTTACCCGAGTTGCAGCTCTCATGAGTACTATATCATCGAATCCCTTGTACTTACAATTGCATTGCTTTTGATTTTATCACCTGCTACTCTGTTATGTCTTCAGTTCGCTCATCTGTGTTTGACATACGTCCTTTGTGACTCTCCGGCGATTGTTTCATTTATTTTATGTTCTTTCTTATGGTTGCGATTGTGTGGCATTTCTAAAATGCAACATTAAAAGGAAGTCCTAAGATGACCCAGTGGCAATAAGACCACTGAGAACAGTTTGAACCAATATTGATGGTGTCTGTAATGTTGTCCGTTATGCCTTCCCTTGGGTGTGTGAGTTATCCATATATGTATATATCCTTAGATCCCCAGTTAAAGAACCTTAGTATTCTAACGTTTTTGTCTAGAACTAACATGTTTATATGTAAATGCGCAGAAAATTAAGAGTGTTATGATTTTGCTCACTTTTATGTGGAGTGTACTTCAAGGCAAGAGTGACCCAGAATTCAACACAAATGTAGCCTTAGATGGTTCTGGAGACTTTAACAATATCTCAAACGCTGTGAATGTTGCGCCAAATTACAGCAAGCAAAAGTATTACATCAAGATTAAAGCAGGAACCTATAATGAGCATGTTTTCATTGGACGAGAGAAAACAAATATTGCTTTTATCGGAGAAGGTATGAATACCTTTAATTCAGCCACAATAGGTATGCTTCATTCATCACAAAAATAGAGACTGCATACCTTATACATGAACCCGTTATTGGTATATAGTTGACGCTCATTTCTTTATCAATTAACAAGCAGGGAAGGGAAATATGCATAAATAATTGCATTACATAATTTACAATGGCATCAGATATACTACTAATATACAGCAGTCCAAAACCACTACTAATATATGTGCTTTAAATCAGACATTAGAGGAGATGGCTTCATAGCGAAGCACATAACCTTCAGAAACTCAGCTGGACAAACAAATGGACAAGCAGTTGCGATGAAGTGTAGTTCCAGCTTTTCGGCACTCTACAGATGTAGATTTGACGCCTACCAAGACACCCTTTATGTCCAAACGGGTATCCAATTTTATAGGGAATGTGAAGTTTTTGGGACAATAGATATTATATTTGGGGATGCCACAGTGGTATTCCAAAATTGTGGCGTTTATGTTTATAATCCTGGAAAGGGACACTCAAATGTAATAACTGCCCAAGGAAGGTCTAGTACTAAATATGTTTCCGGAATATCTCTCCATAATTGCACCATCAAAGCTGCAAATGACTTAAATCCTGGAGTGAGAACCTACCTTGGCCGACCATGGAGGCCATTCTCCACCGTGGTCATAATGCAATCTTGCTTAGGTGATATAGTAGACCCCGAGGGATGGCATAGATGGGATAATAATACTTCAACACTAGCCACACTATATTATGGGGAATATCAAAACAACGGCCCGGGATCTAACATTTCGAAAAGGGTACGCTGAAGCGGACATAAAATCATGAGCTCAACTGAAGCTGAAAAATTCACAGTGAGAAATTTCATCAACGGTGAATCGTGGCAGCATCCAACCACTATCCTATTTTCCCCAGATCTAATGTAGATGTAAAGATGACACCCAGAATTTCCTCATGTAATAGTTTCTTTGTGATCCTTTCATCCTCGTAAATATCAAACTAAGTTCTTTCGGATATCGGTTGCCTCTTTATATGGATGTACGTATATAGGTCCAATGCCTGATTAATTACATATCCTCGTACATGTACTTCAACTGTGAAATTTGAAGAGTTGCCAGCTGCCACTGTTCTATGACAGACATGACTATAAAGAATTTGAATGATTGACGACCAAGAGAACTAGAGCGCTCATGTTGTCTAAGATAAGACTATTACATTGTGTTGTGATGACTTGTATTCAAGTCAATTATTTTTTATATGAACTGTAATTGAAGACATGAATTTTTATTGGAGTTCTTGATAGACAAGTTTGACCTTAGGATTATTTTGGTTTTATTATTTTAGTAGAGTTTAGTCCAATATGAACTTTTGTTGTTTAAACTCAAAGCCTTTAAGGAGTCTTTGGTTTTTTGTCCTACATGTGAGATCTCCTCAACATAAAAACTTTGTGAAGGAATCAAATTCTTTAGTCCAGAAGCTAAATAAAAATGACGTCTTCTCCAGTGAGTTGGTGGTTGGCCATTGACGACGGTACAAGAGTTTTCTTTGTGTGTGATAAATTGATATTACTCTATTTTGTTAAATCTAATAAATATTTTATTATTGGAATAGAGCAGATATCTAGTTTTCTCTTTGATTTGTTCTGAGAACGTTGTAATCTCCAACCTTTCAATAGTGAAATTTTGACGTTGTGTTTCGTTCATAGATATAGGCTTGCTTATTGAGCCGAACCACGTAAATATTTGTGTTCTATTTTCTATTTTGTTGCGTTATTATTTTGTTTGTAATTTTTTTATAACAAATTAGTATCAGAGCTATTGGTTTCGAGATGGCTACCGCAAAATTCGAAATAGAAATATTTGATGGTCAAAAAAATTTCAGTTTATGGCAGATCAAGATGAAGGCTTGCTTCGTCAGCAGGGTTTGACAAAGGTCATTGATGGAACTTTATCCAAGGAGACAGATCAAACTAAAGTTGTTGATATTGAAGAAAAAAAACACAGTGCAATTCAGTTGTCTCTTGCTGATGAAGTTCTTCGTGAGGTTATCAATGAAGACAAAGCCGAAGGGTTATGAAAAAAGTTGGAGAGTTTATATATAAAAAAGTCTCTCGCTAACCACTTGTATCTGAAACAACGGTTGTACACACTCAAGATGAAAGAAGGTACGCCCATTAATGAACATTTTGATGAATTTAACAAAATTATTATTGACTTGAAAAATATTGATATTAAAATTGGGGATGAAGATCAAGCCCTGATTGTGTTATGCTCGCTGCCTGATTCGTTTGATAATTTTGTTAATTCAATGTTGTATGGGAGAGACTCAATCTCTTTAGTTGATGTGAAATTCTCTTTGAATTCTAAAGAGTTGCATACTAAATTGAATAGTAAAGGCAGTGATACTCAAGCCGAAGGTTTATTTGTGAAGGGTCGTCATGATAATTTCTCTAATAATAATAGAGGTCGATCCATTAAAAGAAATTCAAATAAAGGAAAAGGAAAAGCTGGATATCGATCATAGTCTAGGAAGAAACATAATAATGTTGAATGTTTTTATTGTTATAAAATTTGTCATTATAAGTGTGATTATTTTAAGTTGAAAAATAAAGGGGGACAAAAAAAATTCAAATCCTTCCAATTCTTCTAATGTTGCTGGTGTTGCAGAAGATACATCTGATGGTTCAGATAATGTCCTTACAGTCTCTGATGGACGTTTTAATGATGAATGGATTCTTGATTCGGGTTATTCCTATCATATTTGCCCTAGTAGAGATTGGTTTACCACCTATAAGTCAGTCAATAGTGGTTCAGTCTTAATGAAAAATAATGTTGCTTGCAAGACTGTTGGAATAAGTACTATTCGAATTAAGACACATGATGGGGTTGTGAGGATTTTGACAGATGTATGACAAATTTCAGAATTAAAGAAGAATTTAATTTCCTTGGGTACTTTAGATTCCATTTGTTGCAGGTTTTCTGCTGAAGGTGGAGTTATGAAAGTCTGCAGATGTTCCCTAGTTGTGATGAAATGTAAAAAGATTAATGGTCTCTATGTTCTTCATGGTGATACTGTGATTGGTGTAACTGGTGTGTCATCTTCAAAAATTTCAGATTCAGATACTACCTAGTTATGACATATGCGTTTGGGTCACATGAGCGAGAAGGGCATGGAAGTCTTGTGTAAATAGGGTTTACTTGGCAAACAAGAAATTGGGAAACTTAATTTTTGTGAGCGTTGTGTCTTTGGGAAATAATGCAGAGTTAAGTTCAGTACATCTATTCACATGACTAAAAGTATAGTTGATTATATTCATTCAGACCTTTAGGGTCCTTCTCAAGTTCCATCTGAGGGTGGTGCTTGGTTCCTTTTGACCTTTATTGATGATTATTCAAGAAAGGTTTGGGTATATTTTCTGAAACACAAGAGTGATGTTTTTGGGACTTTCAAGCAATAAAAAACTTTGATTGAGAAACAGACAAGCGAGAAAGTCAAGCGTCTCAGAACAGATAATAGTTTAGAATTTTATGAAGGTGAATTTAATGAGTTTTACAAAGATGAAGGCATTGTTAGGCATCGTACTGTCCGGTCTACTCCATAGTAAAATAGGGTTGCAAAGAGGATGAACAGAACTCTTTTGGAGAGAGCACGTTGTATGCTCTCCAATGCAGGATTGTATAAAGATTTTTGGGCTGAGGCTGTTAGCACTGCTTGTTATTTGGTTAATCTTTCTCCATCCACTACTATTGAGTTGAAGACTCTACATGAGGTATGGTCTGGTACTCCTGTTGATTATTCTAATTTAAAAATATTTGGTTGCACTGCTTATTGTCATGTACATGATGGTAAACTTGAGCCTAGGGCTAAGAAGTGCATATTTATTGGTTATGCTAATGGTGTGAAAGGATATAGATTGTGGTATTCTGATCCTAAATCACCTAAGTTTATAGTCAGTATGGATGTTGTATTTAATGAATCTTTCATGTTTCATCCGAGAAAGGAGTTTATAGTTTCTACAAGAAAAGAACAGGATTACAACAAGGAGGTGGAGTAACAAGTAGAAGCTTCACAGAATGAACTTGAAAGTACTCCAGTTCAATCTATTTCAGATTTGTCTGCTTCTAGTTCAGGTGATGATCCACAAGAGCAACAGGAGTATAGTATTGCAACAGGTAGGGAGATGAGGCAAATTAGACCCCCTAAAAAATATAGGTATGTAGACTTGGTGGTTTATGCACTAACTATAGCAGAGGAGTTTGGTATTCCGGAGCCTTCCACATATTTAGAAGTTGTCACAGGTAAAGAGTATGCGCATTGGGTTGTTGCTATGGCTGAGGAAATTGAATCTCTTCATAAGAACCAGACTTGGAAATTAATGAAGTTGCTTAAGGGCATGAAGACTATTGGCTACAAATGGGTCTTCAAGAAAAAGGAGGGAATCCCAGGGGTTGAATCTGCAAAGTACAATGCACGATTAGTTGCAAAAGGCTATAGTCAAATAGAGGGTGTGGACTTCAATGAAGTTTTCTCACCAGTGATAAAACATAGCTCTATTCGTGTATTGCTTGCCATAGTTGCTTCACTCAATCTTAGGCTTGAGGAACTTGATGTAAAGACAACTTTTCTACATGGTGAGCTAAAGGAAACTATCTACATGCATCAACTAGAGGGATTTATTGTTCAAGGTAAAGAAGATCATGTTTGCTTGTTGAAAAAATCATTATATGGTTTGAAACAGTCTCCAAGGCAGTGGTACAAACGTTTTGACACCTTTATGGCAGATCATAGTTACTCTAGAAGTAATTATGATAATTGTGTGTATCACAAACAGTTGTCAGATGGTTCTTTGATATATTTATTGCTTTATGTGGATGACATGCTTATTGCTGCTAAGAGCATGTTAGAGATTGACAAGTTAAAGAAACAGTTAAGTTCAGAATTTGAGATGAAATATTTAGGTGCTGCAAAGAAAATTTTGGGTATGGAGATTCACAGGGATAGAAGAGTAGGTATGTTATATTTATCTCAAAAAAAATATATTGAGAAAGTCATTGAGCGGTTTGGGATGCAAAATTCGAAGCCCGTGAGTACTCCACTTGCCGCTCACTTTAGGCTTTCAGTAGCTTTATCACCATAGAGTGAGAATGATAAGCAATTTGTGTCTCGTGTTCCTTATTCTAGTGCAGTTGGAAGCATCATGTATGCTTTGGTTTGCACTCGTCCAGATATTTCACATGCAGTTAGTGTGGTTAGCCGTTATATGGCTAATCCTGAAAAAGTTCATTGGTAGGCTGTGAAATGGATACTTCGTTATTTGAGAGGCACTACAGATGTTGGCTTAGTATTTAGTAGAAGAGATGACATCGATTCTACAGTTGTTGGTTTTGTTGATTCAGATTATGCGGGTGATCTAGATAAAGGAGATCTCTAACAGATTATGTTTTTACTTTATTTGGGTGCACTGTAAGTTAGAGGGCGATCCTACAGTCTACAGTTGCTTTGTCTAGCACAGAGGCAGAATACATGGCAGTATCAGAGACAGTTAAAGAAGCAATTTGGTTAAGAGGTTTGGTCTGTGATTTGGGCTTGGAAAAAGAGGTAACTACTGTGTTTTGTGATAGTCAAAGTGCAATACATTTGACCAAAAATCATATGTATCATGAAAGGACCAAACACATTGATGTTAGGTTTCACTTCTTTCGTGAAGTTATGACTCAAGGTATTGTCACAATGAAAAAGGTTGCTACAGCGGAGAACCCAATAGATATGTTTACTAAGCTGGTACTAGTGTTCAAGTTCAAGCATTGTT